TTTTTTTTCCAGGAGGCAGGATGTCCTCTTTCTTACTGAACCTTTACCTTCTATGAATAATATTAACTAACGATGCATGTCAATAGTGTGTTGGCCGGGACTCGATCCTAGGGTTGGAAGCCCTTGGACGGCCATACCAGGTTGGCGGCCATCGCACAAAAATCATCTGCGGATCTCTTCACCCACTGCCAACTTCAGCTCCCAACTTTCCCTCTTAAAATATTTCGGCACGGGCCACGTGGAAAATACCGTTCCTCATTGTTTTGGTTAAGTCACTTCCGTGGGAACATGCTTATTTGTGAAGGCGTTACTTAGTAACGGCTCATGTATATTTGCCTATTTCGCAGTCCTGGCCCAGCAAAGTGGCCAAGTACTACACTGCTCTCTCCCTAAGGCTATAGGCATACCGCCGTTTCTTCTCTTTCGAGGTCTGTGCTTGCGACGACTTTGCTTGATCTCGCCTTCCTCCCCTTGGCCCGGTTTTCGCGGCTCCCTGATAAGTTGTCAGCTGATCCAGGTGGCTGCATTACAGAGACCTGCCGGCTAATTGTGTGTACAAAAGTAATCGATGTTTGCTCTGAGAAGTGCACTGTGACGATAAGATTAAGGGATATTTAAAGCCGAAGCAGGCGGTGCGTATAATAATCAATAAACAGTAAGGCTAATAATACGTACAAAAAATGCAAATGATATTTTGCTTCAGAATAGTTTTGATAATCTTCGGTTGGAAAAGGGCAGGTGCACCGCCTAACATGACTGCGGGGGTTCTTTGTTTTCTCAGTCGCTCCACAAAAATAAAGAGATAGCATCTCGTTTATGCCATGACCACTTTCCTTTCAAATTTTTACCTATTTATTATTCACTATCCTACCATTCTATACCAAATAATTAGTTTTGAGCGCATGGAATGGATCGATCTGGCTCAGGATAGAACCTAGTGGGAGGCTTCAATAAACTTTCAGGTTTCATAAGAACAAGTCAACCCTTACTTGAAAAACCAAACAGTTGTCAAGGAAGAGATCATGCAGTGCGTTTGCTTCGGACAAATGAAAGAATTTGCCAGCCCTCCTATCTTGAACCCTCTTTCACCTAAACAACAGTGTAAGTGACGCCTCCTGGCTTCCAGTCTTCATTTCCCTGTGTTGATAACGGTGTAGGAATATAACTCTAGATGATACTTTAATCTGATAAAGCGTTTATTTTGGTTAATTGTCAGGTGAAGCGCAGTATCATGCTAAAGATGGCGGACGCTTGCCAGGACATGTCAAACAAACAGACCCGCTTCCATGAGATGTACGTACAGAGACACAACAATGTCAGGTAAGCAGCACTTCGCGTCGAACGTGACGATGGTGACGGTTGGCAAAGTAACGTTGTGCTCTGCATGTATCGAGGGTGACAGTGCTACAGTCGTCACTGTAAAATTTTGTTACGCATGCGTCGAGTGTGATAGTGCTACAGGCATCACTGTAGCGTTGTGCTCTGCCTATAACGAGTGTGATAATGCTACAGTCGTCAAATTTAACTTTGTGTTCTACACGTGTCGAATGTGATAGTGCTACAGTCGTCACTGTAACCTTCTGTTCTGCAGGTGACGTGTGTGATAGTGCCAGAGTCGACAATTTTAACTTTGTTATCTGCATATATCGAGTATGATAGTGCTGCAGTCGTCATTGTAACGTTGTTTTCTCCATATGTCAAGTGTAATGGTGCTACAGGCATCACTGTAACGTTGTGTTCTGCACGTGTAGAGTGTAATAGTTGTAGAGTCTTCAATTTTAACTTTGTGTTCTGCATGTGTCGAGTGTAATAGTGCTACAGGCATCACTGTAACATTGTGTTCTGCATGTGACGGCTATGATAGTGCTACAGTCATCATTGTAACTTTGTGTTCTGCATGTGTCGAGTGTGATAGTGGTACAGTCGTCACTGTAAAGTTGTGTTCTGGACATGTGATAATGCTGCGGTCGTCATTGTAACGTTGTGTATTGCATGTGTCGAGTGTGATAGTGCTACAGGCATCACTGTAACGTTGTGTTCTGCACGTGTCGAGTGTGATGGTTGTAGAGTCTTCAATTTTAACTTTGTGTTCTGCATTTGTCGAGTGTGATAGTGCTACATTCATCAGTGTAACGTTGTGTATTGCATGTGTCGAGTATGATAGTACTACAGGCATCACTGTAACGTTGTGTTCTGCACGTGTCGAGTGTGATGGTTGTAGAGTCTTCAATTTTAACTTTGTGTTCTGCATTTGTCGAGTGTGATAGTGCTACATTCGTCAGTGTAACATTGTGTTCTGCATGTGACGGCTATGATAGTGCTACAGTCGTAATAATAACTTTGTGTTCTGCATGTGTCGAGTGTGTAGTGCTTCAGTCGTCATTGTAACGTTGTGTTCTGCACATGTCGAGTGTGATAGTGGTACAGTCGTCACTGTAACGTTGTGTTCTGCACATATCGAGTGTGATAATGCTACAGTCGTCATTGTAACGTTGTGTATTGCATGTGTCGAGTGTGATAGTGCTACAGGCATCACTGTAACGTTGTGTTCTGCATGGGACGAGCATGATAGTGCTGCAGTTGTCACGATAACTTTGTATTCTGCATTTGTCAAGTTTGACAGTAATACATTTGGCACTGTGACATTCTGTTCTCCTTATATCTCAGACTGTAAACTTCACTTTTGCTCCCGTGGTCCAATGTAATTTACATGGAATCATTTTTGGGTGACCTTATTCATTGCCCCCCCCAAAAAAGAATATCAGAATCATACGGTTTTTCTATCAGGACAGTGAAGAGATTTCAAAGTAAATTCTCGTATACATCTTGAGCTCGTAAATAGTAACCATAGTTGTGCGTTTTGTATGCTTGTGAGGGCAGTTTGCTCTGTGCATGTATGTACCATTACTCCTTTTGATTCAGGTGACCGACTTTCACGAAATTTGGTGTGCCATCAGATGCCACCACAGCCTCTGTTTTTTTTATGACATTGATTCAGTAATACTAGAATGGCCGTCATCTAAACTTGTGAGCTGTGCGTGACGTTTGGACCACATTATATGCGATCCTGAAATAACACGTGTCAATAGATCTTCAAGAAATGCGCAACTTTTTATAAAGGAATTTTTTATACCACGTTGAAGAACAAAGTGACAGGTGCACCAAATCTGTATTTAGCGTTTTGATTGATAGCGATAAGTAATGAATAATTGGAGTCATATACATATATGCTATTTGGGGCGTGGACAGATCGCAAACACGCATACAAATTTCGTATGAAATGTTGTTCGTGAGGCGATCGGAGATGGCTTGGGATTGTATGCAACAAAGTTTGCTGTAGTAAAACCCTGTATCTCTATTTAATTAACAAGCTCTTCCATTAATAATAATAATAAAATAAAGTAAAGTAAATGTATCCCTGTAACAGGTCGTGGAGGCCCATAGGATTGTGAGATGTTGAGTTTCCCACATTCAGCTCATAGATGGCGGTAAGGTTGTCAGCCTTACGCGCCGGCCGCCCTTTACCCGCAAGAATATTCCAAGAATATTCCTGGTGCTCATATCTGTTAGAGGCTGAGTCGATCCAGGGGCCATAGTTTGGCTGGAAGGATTACGTCAATTGAAAAGAATCCAATGACCTCATCGGGACTGAACCCGCGACCTTCTGGCTTGTAGCATAGTGCCTCGACCAACTACGCTACCACGTGCCCCCTCCATTACTAATTCAATTCGCGTTTATTTACGTGCAAACTTAACAGCACAGAGGCCAATTACAAAGCTAGCACGAATACAGGTATATTAACATTCTTTTCTCGCGTATAAGGCAGGAAATTTGATTCTGACAATTCTGTGAAGATGTTTTGCCCCACGAAATAGGGTGCGTCACAAGATTCTATGTTTACCCTAATAATGTCAGGCGCGTACTTCAGTCAAACAGCGATGAACGGCTGAAGGTTCTGGATTTGATTCCTGGATGGGGCGAACATGTTTCTGTTTGGTTCCGCATCCAAACCGACTATGGGATCCACTCAGCCGCCTATTCATTGGATATCGTGGCCCTTTCCGCGGGGATAAAGCGGCTGGGGCGTGACGCTAACCGCTCACCCGCTGTACCTCCACTGGACCGCCGTGTTCCTCCATTCGCACTGGCACTGAGTAAGATCACGACAAAACTGTGTCAGTAGGGAGGCCGAGCTGTAGTAAAAGTTGTTGGGTGGGGCGTGATGTCTGAGATGTGCGAGAGGGGGGGGGGACAAGAGTGCCGTAAGTACAGAGNAGTGACTTGTGAATTTCGAGTCCACTGAATTCTGCAGCGTCGTCTTTTCCTTCTTCATCCTCACTACTCCTACAGCTGCTGTCATCACCGTTTACTGTAATTTGTTCCGAAACGTCGTCAGTAGCCGTTTCCAGCCGCAAACAGTTCTGCTGGCACTGACAGACATTGTTGTCACTCGAACTGATGCTCTACCGTTGTGAACATACTGGACCTACAACAACACTTTGGTGGATACTGCCGTGGTTTCTGGCGACGCAATCTTTAACCGGTCCCCATATCAGGTAAGTCGGATTACGATCTGAGTGACATGGCGCCAAGCGAAGAAGACATTGACCATATCGAGCCAGTAGACCAACAAATTTGGATGTTCTGAACCGTCGAATCAAAGAAGACGGTTCGGGCATACCCGCAGTAGCGTAGTTGGTTGAGGCACTGTGCTACAAGCCGGAAGGTAGTGAATTCGATTACCGAAGAGGTGGCCCTGCTGTCGACTCAGCATCTAACACAAAATGAATAACAGAAATCTTCCTGGCTGATAAAGGGCGGCCGGCGCCCAAGCCTGACAAACTTAACGCCGTCTATGAGCCGATTCTGTAGAAAATGTGGGAACATCGACGTCTCACAACCCTATGGGCCTCCATGGCCTGTTACAGGGGTAGCTTTTACCTTTACCTTTTTATCTCACCATACTCATTGGGCGTATGAAAGATTGTCCCGATCTGAAAGCCGGTCGATAGAGATATGGAGCCTACATTGTCGAGTAGTAATACCGAATTTGGCAGAAAGTTTCACTTTGAGCCATCTTTCATATCTACCAAAATTCCTTTCGTGCTGATAATCTCCAGACGTGAACATCAACAGAGAGTTAGGAATGAAGCCGCTTACGTCGGCAGCATGTGTAAAGGTAGAGCGGCACATGTTTCGTGTGTGAGGAGCGAATGTTCTTAACGACTTGCGCAGTCATGGGATAGTGACGTACATCAGTACATGACGCAGCACAAGGTGGGAAACCGGGATCTCGTTGGACCATACCGCATTTCGCTCAGTTAGTAAAAGGGCAGGGATATTCACATTCTCCACAACGTCCAACCAACCTCCTAATTCATTGGGTACCAGCAGCTATTTTTCCAGGGTTAAAACAACCGGAGTTTGAAGCTAACACTGCGGACGTACAGCTGCTATGCGACATCCGAGCACCACGCGAGCTGCCAGGCTTCTCAAGGGGAGGAGTCAGTTGGGGCTGGCTCAAATTCGCTTGTTTCGTTTGTTTCTTGCTCGACTTTGAAGATGGAGGGGATATGTTCCTGCGAAACTCCAAGCCTCCGGACTACACGGTGTTATAACCCAGAAGACAGTACCTTTCCAACTTCCGGGGTGAATATCTCGATTGGGCAATTTTTATTCGTCGGTTATCGTCCCAGTTGTCGCCGTGTAGTCTGAGATATTGACACCTTGTACTACTACTACTACTACTACTACTACTACTACTACTACTACTACTAATAATAATAATAATAATAATAATTCTTCATTTATTTACGTGCTTAACTCAGCAGCCAGTGCCGTTTACAGACTGAGCACGAAATCAGAACAACAACAAGGAGAAACAACACATGGGCAAAAACAGTCAAGTAAAGAAAGAGCTAAAACAATTGATGTTATTTAAATAGATCTCTAGAAACGTGCGTCGGCTTGCAGAGCGGAAACGCAGCCAGCTGAAGGACAGGAGCAACTGAACATGGTTATGTCACGCATGTTCCGAACGGGAACGAGAATGCCGGCTGGTTCTGGAACCCAAGGGAGACAAATTTAACTCCATTATAAATACAGTAATAATAATAATAATAATAATAATAATAATAATAATAATAATATGAGCAACAGCGATATCTGTCTCAGTTCGCCATTGCCTCGATGGGTTGGTACGTTGCTAAGCGATTATTGGGTTTGCTTGTATTTTCAAATCCTTGCATCTTTTCCTCTGAGGTGCTCTGCAGGTCAGTGTGCTAGCCCGGTATTGAAAAGGACCCGGGTTTAATTCCAGCAGAATGCAGTACTCTTAGAAACGTCTGCTTCTTAAATGATAACTAGTTACTGAAGATGAGAGTAGAATGAACTACCGAAACGTCGTGTATATAAAATGTTTTTCTGGCACTGGACAATGTTAAACGCAATTTATAGATGCAATTATAAATGCGCGTGTGTGTTCGTGCGTGCAGGAGCGCGCTTCTGCAAGTAAATGTCGTTGGCCTGAAGGAAGATGTTGCAAGTTTCAGTCGAATTCTGAACTGGCGCTGCGTCACTGTTGCTATATAATGACGTGTCTGTCTGTTGCAGCATTCTCTACGCCGACATCGTCAACTTCACTCCTCTGTCGGAGCAGCTGAGTGCGTCGGACCTGGTCATGACGCTCAACGAACTCTTCGGCAGATTCGACCAGATAGCTCAGGTGTGTGGCCGATACCGGGCCGACGTTTGTCGTGCCCCTAACAATGCGACAGAACCATTCACAGGGAAACCGAGATGAATTCTTGTAGTAATGATACTGAAATATAAACTGACGAGTACTCTGTGCTTAATTAAGCAGCACGCCATGAAGACTTATAAGGGAGTGGAGGTATAACTCCACCGTTCTTAACCTCGGCGCTAGATGCAGGTGAGTGGTCAGTTTCACACCCCGGTCTCTTTATACCCGGGGAAAGATCCTCCAGTACTCACTGGATAGTGGGCTGGGTGGGCCTCCAGTTCCTGTCTGGACGCCGGGAATCAAACCCCGGCCGTTCAGCCTGTAGCCCACCTCTATACGGACCGAGGTACACTAAATATCCCCAGTACTAATGTAGCTAACACCTTTACACAGGTGGGAACATTTCAGCAAACGTAAATTTCGTAAGTACTCTTTACATAAGGATTCCGTTTGCAGTGCTGTCAGTATCTCAGGCTAAACAACTGCAACTCAGACCAGTGGGAAATTTTATGTTTTTATGTTGGTACCATACAGACGATTTCTCTCGCCATTGATGATTTCTATTCAGATAGTACTCTGTTGCTGGGCCTCATGCGTGTGGGGGTTTTGTCATTTTTCGACTTAACTCTCGCAGATGATCTGTGCTTGGCTTGTATACCTAACTTGTGTTGGTGCAAGTGTCCGGAGGTAGGGACTAGCTCTGTTGATTGGCACAACTGACTAGATTTTTAAAAGAATACGGAGACAGAATCCAGTCTCCAAAACGTCGTGTGCTTTAAATAAGAACAAGACGATGGATAATGAGCAGAAACACAGTATCTTTATATATGGACAAATACCGTCTTAAGTGCGACAATTTTATTGTAGTTTTTACTTCTTTTTCCTCCTCCACACTACATGTTTCGGCCCTAAATGGCCATCATCAGGTGTGTATCACTCACGTAACTGTTACACTGCTTGTTAAAAATGTAAAAATCCCAATCTTTCTAATTGTATAAAATCTTTGTTAATCTACACGCGTCGATTTGATTTTTAAATTAGCACTTTTTAAACCTTAATTCAAGTTAAAATGTCTATAAGATCTTTGTTCTCTTTCTTTTTCAAATTAAAATTTTTCAGGGTACATGCCCTATATCTACGGTGCTGCAGCGGCCACTTCTTGTTTTTATCGCTGTTCATGTGTTGTTCAGTGTAGGCGCTCTCTGTGTGTGTCGCTGCTTATCTTTAATACGTATATTGTATACGTATATTAATATTGTAAACAGTATCTTTGTGTGTATAGTGGTGAAGAACGAATTGGACACAGTGTGGAAAGAAGCGACTGTGACATAAGTTAAGCTGCTGCCCCAACATTTGTCTTGAGGAAAACGAGACACCGCAGTCACGATATTTGGTGTCTCGGCCGAGGTTCGAGGCAAATTCCTCGCGAGCTATTCCTGTAACAGGCCGCAGAGGCCCATAGAATTGTGAGACGTCGAGGCTCCCACATTTTCTAGACAATTGGCTCTCAGTTTGCGGTGAGATTGTCAGCCTTCCGTGCCGGCCGCACCTTTACCCCCATGAATATTCCTGGCACTCATTTCTGTTAGAGGCTGAGTCGAACCCAGGGCTATAGTGCGGCTGGAAAATTAGGTCAATTGAAAAATCCAGTGATCTCATCGGGAATCTAACCCGCAACCTTCCGGCTTGTGTAGCACAGTTCCTCAACCAACCACGCTACCGCGTGCCCTCACGAGTACAAGTGTTCCTCACAGGACCGTTTGCTGTTCGCAGGACAACCAGTGCATGCGGATAAAGATCCTAGGTGACTGCTACTACTGCGTGTCTGGCCTTCCAGTGTCCAGGCCCAACCATGCCTACAACTGCGTCAACATGGGTCTGCAGATGATCGAGGCCATACGGTAAGACAGCTCTCGTGATTGCTGACTTCAAACCGAACTCCTAGTATATTCCGAGGAGTTATAAGAGGGCACAGAACGGAGAACAACGGGGTACAGCGTAGAACAAGAACGAGAATGGGGCGTCACATAGTGGTTTGTGATGTGGGCAGTTTGGCGATAGCGCTATAATTGAGTTCGATTAAGATTGTGGAAGGTGTTAATAAATCCAATCCAGAATCCGTTATTATTGGTCACGGAGCCATAAACACGTGAGAGTGTATACAATACACGACGACTGCCAGTAGGTCAGGCTGTAACACGTTATGAGCGTCCCAACATGATTGTCAATAGCTGACACTTCCCGCACTCGCGTCTCCCCACATAAACACGCCATCAGATAATTTTGTTCCTGTAATCTGAAAGCTGTAATTGACGTCGGATTAGCGGGGGTGCTGTAACATGGCATCACCCAATACAGTGTATGCATCCCCTCAGCTTACGGAACGTGGTCATGTCAGGAACCGACGCTGCTCTGAATAATACAGGGATAGACAGCGAAACAAATAATTCTTGGGCTTTCGCTCCCGTCCATCGAATTCTGTGTGAAGCAGGAAGCTTGCAGAACATGCGCGCTTGTCATTTATATGCAACTTCCTTCCAAGAATTTTTTGTTGTGACGAACATGTTTTTAATGTGCTCACAGCAGATCCGCTATTTTGTTCGATTTTAACAAAATTTGGTATGGATAAATTTTTAGTAATCACCTCGAATTTCAGATTTCATTGAAACATTTTAAGCCATTCTCGAGATATTGCATATAGGCGGACGGGAAAACACATATCGAATCCAATAGGCGTGCTCTTGCCATGTTACTTAGGCAATTTTCTGACTTTTTTTTTGTCTTCATGTCTTCCTCTATTCTCCTCTGCTCCAGCACATTAGAATCGTGCTCTCAGGAGTTGAACACAAACTGGTAATGCTCTTCTTCTGGTGTCTTGCCGCCCGTTTCCCCCTACTTGTGCAGCCCGGTGTCGCGATATGCGCAGGGCACGTTTCGTTTAGACTCGTCACGCCCTCTGACAAACTAGTGTTCTGAGGCAAATTCCGTAAAATATACCATGGCCACTTCGTCTCAAATTGAACCCACTTCATCATAATCATTCCGCTACGCATTCCATAAACTCTACAGCTGATAGGTTGTCGTCAAATGACACTTTATGTTGCAGTATAGGCCTCATACTCTCGTTCTGTTGCACAATTTTGAATCAAAAGAAAGTCGCTCTGTACTCCGGGAATTTGTGACTCCAGAACTGCTGAAGGGATTCTGATCAAATTTCGAAATGGTGTCTACGCTAAAAGCTGGCCTACCACTGTAAGCTTGGTTAGTGTCAACCAAGTGAAACCCATGCAAGTATTGTGTTTCTGGACGTTATCCATCGGCCTGTTTTTATTGTAAACACAACCGGATTTTGTAAGATTTGAGGCTTTCACGGCGGTGACTATGAAGAAAGCAGTCTTCTGGGATTTGGCACCGTGTATATGTGGTGTTAACCNCGGATTTTGTTTCCGAAACGTTGTGTGATTTAAATATAAATAGACCGATGGATAACGTCCAGAAACACAATGATTTTTATTAATATACCATCATCACAACTACCAAATGCAACCTGTATTTCTCCTGTGTGTGTGTGTTTGTGTGTGTGCGTGTGTGTGGAGAGAGAGAGCTACGTTGTAATGGGCGAAACAATACAGTCTGTCCACAAAGTCCCTTCGGGGTTTTGAAAAATTGTGGCGCTCGAACATATTGCGCTAGCCACATGAAGTATGCGGCAGATCGTAGTGAAACTCTGGAAGTTTTTTACTGACCTCAGTAGACCTCGGCGTGTGCTCCCTTGGTAGCACGGAGAACGTTCATATGATATTCGAGCTCTTGCCATGTTCTGTGGGGCATGTCCGTTGGAATAGCCGAGATCGCGTTCCTGATAGGGTTCTTCAATTCATCGGGTCCGTTAACTGGAGTTCAAAACACACTGCTCTTGACATAACCCCACAGGAAAAAAACCAGTGGTGTTATGTCTGGTGAACGTGGAAACCAGGACATTGGACCGTCTCTAGCGATCCCTCTTCCTGGAAATGAGCTGTCTAGGAACGTGCGTACCTGCAGACCTCAATGAGGTGGAACACCATCTTGTTGCAGAATGATGTGTGGTTGTAAGAGCCCAATTTGTGGTACTGCGTACAGTTGCAGCATGTCCTGGTAGGTGTTGTTCATGTTGATCGTCTGCTCTTGAAAAAAAAAAAAGTTCCAGTGTCCTGGTCATGCATTACACCACACTACACGTTCACTTTCGGACTGTCGCGTATGTCCTCCCTAACAACATATGGGTTTTCAGTTTCCCATATGCGCACATTATGCCTGTGAACTTTACCCGAGACATGAAATGTTGTCTCGTGTGTGAACATGATTCTTTTCAAGAAGTCCACATTAAAGTCAATGCGGTCGAGCATTTCTTCTGCGAAATGTTGACCTGTTATTCCATCAGCAGGTTTCAACTGTTGCACTATTTTTTATTGCAAGTGGGGTAGGACTACGTCCCTTGTACTGCGGCCACTTCTCGCCTATTGTACCAGCCCCAGATTAGAGGTGAGGGTGATTGTGGAGCAATTGGTGGAATGAAGATTGGCAGGGGAAACCGAAGTACTCGGAGAAAACCTGTTGCAGCGCCACTTTGTCCACCACAAATCCCACTTGACCAGACCCGGGATCGAACCCGGGCCGCCGCGGTGGAAAGCCAGCCACTAATCGCTTGAGCTATGGCGCGGCCTACTGTTTCACTAACTGAACCTTGTATGCACACAACCTCAACTTCTTATGTAGCACTTTGTGTATCGTTGAACGTGTGAGTAACAATACACGCGAAGCAAGCTCGACGTGTGGATTTTGTAGGTCTTCGTACAAAGATTCACGATTTCTTTCCACACATTCATCGCTTACACCCGATCTGCCACTTCTCTTGCGATCATGGACACTCCCAGTTTCTAGGAAACGCCGTTGCCAGCCTCTTACTTCTTTGTCACTCGGAGGTTGCTTATTGAACTGTGCCATAATTTCGTTGAGTCTGGGTGACTGATTTTGTCTCAAAAAGCCATCCTACACAACGCGCGCGTTCCTGCATAGTCGCCATTTCACAAACGACTGAGGAACGTAAAGATGGCCGCTTATGGCGGCAAAATAAAACTTCCAGAGTGTCACTGTGATCTGCCGCAAACCGCATATGGCTAGCTCAATTTGTTTGCGCGCCTCAATTTTTCAAAACCCGTAAGGGACTTTGTGGACACACTGTATTTTCTGGCTTCTACATGTTCCCAGGTTGTGCTCGCTCGCCCTCCTCTCACACGTAGGTTGCAGATTAGATAAAGCCATGGAAGCTGAAGAAGCGGTCTAACACTACGAAGAACGGACAGAATTTGCGTATGATCGAAATTATGACATTAACTTCGTTAAGACTGGATTAAGGTCGTACGGGGGTGTAATTGAGTGTAATATTAGGGCGAAATGCTGAGAGAACTGCGTTAGGATTACATTGGAGTAAAAGCGTAATATACAATTTATTTATTAAAACCGTCCCAACACAACTATATTAAGGTCAATGCCAAGTTTGGCTCTGCTACATGTTCCGGCTACCAAAAGCCATCATCAGGCATTAGAAGTTCTATATATCGGCAAGAAAGGCCGAACCTTGGATAATTACGAGTATGAAAGTTTTAACATTTACGAAATCAGCAAACTAAATTTACAACTAAATGATAATTTTACTGAAATTTTTAATCCTATATATGATGTAGTCATTGATACATATAAAACATAATATACAATCATACCCCCCTCCCCCCACCACCACTTCCGCATACACCTTATCTCTTTCTCCCCCTTCCCTCCCTTGCTTAACATACTTCACCAAATCAGTCGTTGTTTACATTCCCTGCTAAACGGACAGTACTTTGTAAGATGAGGCACCGGCTAAATAGTAAGTAAATAATACACTGTATCTTCAGTACTCAAAATCAAATGTTAATTATAACAAAATTTAATACCATTACTTTCATATCATTTTCAGATTAACATTAATATTACATCTACATCACGAGCCTCCAATGCAGTTTATTATATATACACAAAAAATATAGAATACTCCAATTTTTCTGTGGGAACACAACAAAATCGCAAATACCAATCACTGAGTCAGTGATGTAAAGCATCACTTGAAGAATTTTAATCTTGTTTTATACTGTAACTTTCGTTTTATATAGTCTAATTTATTGTACTTTTACGCCAAGTATTTTAATATAATTAATATTATTGTATCCCATTTTACTAGTACTGCAGTTCAGTGGTGTATATATTTGGCAATGTATTTGCCTGATGATGGCTTTTGGTAGCCGGAACATGTAGCAGAGCCAAACTAGGCACTGACCTTAATATTGTTGTGTTGCGACGGTTTTAATAAAGAAATTATATATATAACACAACAGGATGCATGAAATTAAAATTATAAAAGCTTAATAGTAACGTATGGATGGCTGCATCCATCTCCTACAGAGGACCTAACTAACTAACAGATGTACTTATACCAGTATGTACGGTAGCCACTCTTGCTAAAGTGTTACGGCAGGGACTTTGAATGCCATATCAATTTTTTATAATTCAGATCCTGTTTTAATTATGCATGGAAACTTTAATTTCTTAATTCGAATTAGCAAAGGTTTACTGCCCTGGGAAAATGTTTCGTAGCTTCTCCCTGGGTTTCGGAGGAATGCAGGCATACAGGCAGACTGTTCACTGGTAGACAGTTCGGCCGACTCGTGTGAGTAACGAGGCACACAGGTTTCCTGTCGACAGTGAAGGAAGAGCCGTGGTATCGCAGTCTTGTTTCTGTGCAGCCGTCAGTATATTGCGCCTTTCTGTCATTTCCAGAACCTGAATTCACTTCCGTTCCCAGTTCCTCTTGTTCTGAAAGAAG